TGGAATTAATACGTCTTTTTAAGATATACTATTATTATTTTGAAGATACAAGGAGTTTTATGATAGATTTTGGAGATCGAAAGGTGTAGATGCAAAGATGATTTCAAGATCTATACCTTGTCAATAGATAAGGTTAAATCCACTTCTTCAAGGCTCTTCAAAATCTTTTCCACATCTTTAATGTGATCCTTCACAAATCTTCTACATCCATGAATATCCAACATCAAGTCTTTAGCCTCCTCTTTGCAGCCTTTGATAGGTATATCATCTACAATAGGAATAGTCTTCTCAAGTAGAAAATCCCTTAAGATTTGGTTCATGGCATTTTACATATGAGCTACTAAGTTAGTGGCACCTTGAGGCAAAGTGCACATTCTCATAAGTTCCAATAGAGTCTTCATAGTTGTCAAATTTCTACTTTTTGATGCAAGCTCAAACTAATCATAACCAGAATAAGGATCTCCAATAAAATAGATGGCATGTCTTGCAAAAGTCTCAGCAACTTCATCCACAATCGATCTCAATCTTTTATTTTTTATTGTCACCTTGTTGGCTGGCTGCATGTCTTAAATGAATCTCAAAGCTTTAGACTTCTTTGGTATTGTGAACCATCGATTAGAGTATAGAGCCATAGATGGTTCAAGTATTTTTATTTACATCCTTTCCTTCAATAGACTCATCAAGTTAGGTAATAAGGTTTTTGGCACAGAATTAGTTTCAAATTCTAAGGCTTATGTGGAATAATAAAAATGACCATTGGTGCAACAACCTTTGGACTAATACAACTAATCTCAATTAGTAAAGATGTAAAAGCCGTACTATACTTAGAGATCATTTTTTGGAATATTCTTTTTTCAAGTTCTTTCAAGAAATCACTCCCTCCAATCTTTAGCTTGGCCAATATGTCTTTTGTGAAATTGTCACCAATTCTTCTTGACTCTCTTAGTCCAGGATCTTTTTCAACCTTCTTCATATGATCTTCAAAGTCCGGTGGTAGTTGTATTGTGATTGGCCTCACCTTCTTTGCCATATTCTTATACTTGATATTTACCATTGCTTCAATCTCTAAGCCAAAACTCTCAATCAAATTTACATCTATAATCTATTTAGACATGGCAGCCATAGACGCTCCTTCACTTACCATGAAAGCATACTTATTTCCACCAAAGTTATCATTAGAATTTTTTGCGTTCTGTCTATTTTTTTTCTTGGCCTTATGGTAATTTTTTATAAAATTATCTAATTTTTTATAAAATTATCTAATTTTTTACAAATATAGAAATTTTTCAAATTTCTTTTTAAATTACTATATTGATCAAAATAATTATCTTTGACTTATTTTGAGAATAAAACCAAATCTTCACTTTGAAACTACTTTTCTTTCTTCTTGATCACATCATGTGCAAGTCTTGATGAGACATAATTCATGATAAGTTCCTTCATGTTGATAGACTTCAATGCTACAATGAGGTAGTTATAGGTCTTTAAAAGGCTCATGAACAATATCAATACAATTTATCTATCATCAATTGGCATATCAACAACTATTAATTGTTTTCCAAGTACTTTTATTTTATTGACATGAGCCATGAAGACATCTCCTTCTTCTATTTTGACTATTAAGAACTTCCTCTTTGTCTATAGAATATTGGCAAGGTTTTTACTCTCATAAGTATTGCAAAGAGTCTTCTATACTTTTGTTGATCTATTACAAGTAATTACATGTCAAAAATTGGCATCATCAAGTTTTATTGCAATTATCCCAAAAGCCTTCTTTTCATGATCTTTGTATTCTTTCTTTACCTTAATATTAGCATCCTCTTTTAGAAACTCTTCACTTTCATTAATAATTTTCTAAAGATCCAATGAAGCCAACAAAAGCTTTATTTTCTTCTTCCAATGGTAGAAGTTGTTACTTCTAAATTTTTCAATCATTCTCAAGCCCTCACCTTCAGTTAAAGTTATATCTAAAGAAGAGATGTATCAAAGAAAATCAAAAATAGAGAAGTTAGAGCTTTTAAAATCGATAAGAAGGCATTGTTATCTTAAAAATCCAAAATATCCTCTTCATAAATAAACTAGTGATTTCTCTTTTTAATCACTTTCAACTTCATTTATAAAAAAATTCACAAGTCTTATATTCTATCTAAATCTCTTGTATAAGCTTTATTACTCTTTAATCACTTCTAATGTCATATAACACTTTAATCTCACAAAACACCTTTTATCACTATAAGTAGATCTTTTATGAACTTAAGTACATGAAAACACAATGTTAACATACTAATGATGTAAATTGACAAAAAAACAAAACACTATTATTTTAAAAAAATATTCTTAGGTATCTAACAATCTCCAAGCCTATGAATGTTTTTAGCAATAAATTAGAAGAAAACTACAATAACTACATACAAAAGTAGGATTAGATGATATCAAATCCTAATATTAGCAACAATCATAAGATCTACTTTTCATAATAAGAAAGGCTTCAAAGAACTCCAAAATTCACAATTAAAGATGAGCACCTCCAAAATCAAATGAAGAAAAAAGAACTTTGAGGTCTTAATACATAGTACTAGCAAGATTATACACAAAGAGAGTATGGAGTAAGATATCTCTCACTTCCAACACCCATTACTTATAGGTGGTGGTTGCTATCTTATAAGACAACTTCCACACTTTGACTTTTACACACATGGTCCTAAGATCCTTTGGCATTTAACTTACTAAAAAGATATCTTATGTCAAATACTAATTACTCTTATTTAGTCTTTGAATATTCTTTAGTTGATATTTTATTCTCTTGACTTTGATTCATGGCCTTTCACCTCGTCCTATATCTATAGGATGTCCTTTCTATATACCAAAAATCAATCTTTTGACTATTAGAAACTTACTTAAGGTATTATCCTTTACAAGGTAACTTATTTCACTTTTCCTTATTTATTTTAACAGTTCTAAGATAACAATTGATTGCAAAGAAATAAATTTGTGTATAAAATGTATAAATAATTCATTACACATGAATTAATTATAACAATATTCACATTCTAATGGATTATAGAAGAAGAGAGCTTTGAATGCAATCTTTATATATAAATTTATTATACTAGTATTTAGACATATATCATATAATGTAGTATTAGATGCCAAATGTTATTAAATATATATAATTTAGTTTAGTTTAATAATCTTCTATTTACTTATCTTATTCTATTACTTGACTTTATTAATATTAACTAAAATTTGAAGACCTAGATAAAAATAAAAATAACCCTCCTCTCCTTTATTCGACATTCTTATTAAGTCAAGTCTTATGAGTGATTTTGGAGAAAAAAATCTTATATTACAAGGGTTTGCTTGGCTATAGTGATTTAGCCATTTAGTAAAGTTTTAGAGTTTTCTTTATTCATACTTGTTCTCTTGGATTTTCTCTTTGTAGTGTAAGAAGTAACTTGACTTAGTTATATAAAGATTTATCATCTTTTCTTGAAAGTATGTGAATTATACATTTGTATTTTATTTAGATTGCATATTTTATGATTGATTTATAGTACTCAATGTGTTGTATGTAAGAATCTTTGCTTAAATCAATATATCAATGAATATTGTAAAAAAATACACAAAATTAATCACAATGGAGTTGCATAATTATCAATCACAAAAAATGATTGTTTTGTATGTAATGTATTGACAATCTTTTAAATATATTTATTTACAGTAACAAACATATATCAATTGATCATAGAGAAAGAAAATAGCTTTGTATGCAATACATTGATAATCTTTTACATATATTCATTTATACACTAATTATTAACGAAAAAGAGAGCTTTGTAGGCAATCTTCACACATAAATCTATTACAATAGCACTCATACAATAGCACTCATACAATAATTGATTATAGAAGAAGATAACTTTGTATACAATGCATTAATGGCCCTTTACATCTAAATTAATCATGATAATATTCAAACAAAAATTGATTACATAAATAGAATGTTTTGTATGCAATCTTCATACATGAATATATTACATCATTACTCATATAACACTAAATTACAATTGTAGCATGCCTTATATACAATGCTATGACGACTCTTCACACATGAATTGAGTATGATGCACCTCATACACCAATTGATCATAGCAAAAGATTATTTATTATACAATCTTCACACATAAATCAATCATGATGACACACCTACAAATGAATAATACTTGAAAACATTTACTAGTTCAAACCCTAAAATTGCTACTTTGACATCCACAAATGATACATCTTATATAAGGTGACATATTTCATAATTTCACTAAATTCTCACTCAGCAACCAAGCTTGAAAATATGAGCAAGCTTAGAATTTCATGACTTGCAAAAACTTGCAAAAACATTGATGATAGAAATTGTTTTTTGCACCAGCAATCACAATCTCTTATAAGTTCAATAATGCTCATTAGTCACATCTACTAGTAGTTATAAATTTTCACAATATAAATCCTAAACCACAAAAAATTATATATATATATATATATATATATATATATATATATAATTGTAAGTGGCAACTATGATGGACTTCCTTTCTCCAATAAAATAATTTCACATTCAATTAATCACATGTTTTATTTCACCTAATTGTTGTTATTTTATAATAAAGATGACAACTTTGTGTGAATACCATCAACTTGAAATTCTCTTCAAACCTTCAATAAATATTCTCTTAAAATCATGGATTGTCTTCCCACTATTCTTCATGCAAGTTCCACTCTTTGATTATTTATATGTTGACTTTCTCCTGTTGGCTTCTCAGTTATCAGATAAATTTGCGTCTTCCACTCTGTCCCGTAACAAGTGGCACTTTAGTCGTTTAAAAATTAATCTCGAATATCAGACATCGGACATTTACAGACCTCAATTTAAGCATACATTCTATTAAACAACCGGGCATGCTGAACGTATTAAGTTCTTGGAACCCTGTAGTCTCCAACCAAGAACCTGAAGCAAACTTTGTGCTCGCATTAGAACTTGTTTTCTTGTCAAGATGGAATACCCTGAAGTGTGAAGAACTAATCCTCGGCTCCTGAAAGATTTAAATACATGAAAAATTGAGAATTCTGACGTGCATTGTCAAAAACCCTTAAAATTGAACTAAAGACTCGAAGCCAGCTTCAAGTTGATTTAAGTAATATTAAACCAAATAGCTGATGTCTGCACTACCAAAGTTGTCTAGAGTCCATCGCAAGGATGATTGCACTAAAGGAGCACTTTTGAACTGGTAATTTGAAAAAATAAACAGATAACTCAATGCTTTGCACTACTAAAATCGAGAATGCAGCCCCTAAAGTGGTTTTCTGATAGCTCCTGGAGGTGGAGAGGCCACAGGTGTTCCTTCTTGCTTGTTTCCATGTAATGTGAATTCACCTCCAGGGCTACTCTGGTTCCTGTCTTCACCATTATACTGAGCAAACGATTCAGGATTGGCAGTCATGCACGTTTGCATTGCGATGAATGACTTTGTGCAGTCCGAACCCTGCAAACATGTTCAAACGACATCTTTATGTGACCAATACCTTTGAAGTCAGCAAGATTGAACCGAGTAAAAACTACATTTTTCCTACACAGTGAGGTGCTACATGTATACAGAAAATACGCACAAACAACATCCCACAAATAGGCTCACATCCTGGTTTGCAAAAACAAATGCCAGGAAATTAAAAGAGGTGAAAGAACTGACTATATCTAGAATGTAAGCCTGCTTAAAAGCCACCAAAAAAAATGCTCATGAATAGATCCCGACCCTCGGATGACCCAAAGACCTTATACTAAATGCACCGGTTTGACGTGACCTAACACAAAGACTCGTCGAGATCCAAAATGTATTCCGCAGGCATACCTGTTCTTCAGCTGTGCTAGTAAGAAAGCAATAAAAGGCTTCTTTAAACTGTGACCCGCAGGGTCCATCACGAAGCTCGGCCACACAATCGCATTTCAAAGCCCTTCGAGCCCTTTCCTCCCGTGAAAGCTGTTCAGTGCACAGACCACACCCAGACAGTAAGGCCCAGCACTCCAGATGCACTTTTTCCATCTCAACACCTTCGCCGTCATGCTACATACATGAGACAACGTCACATTAGGAAGAAAATTGATCTCAAACAACACTTACTTATTTGAGAGAAGGCTAAGCTACGGACCTCTGAATCATCGCCACCTACCAAAGCCGCAGCTTCTGCACCAAGCGAACATCCAAGGTTCATCAGAAAATTAGCCCGCTTCTGAACACTATCATAAGCCAGTGAAGATAAATGGCAGCACCAGACAGCTATTTCATACAGGTAAACCGCAGATATGGAACAATCCATGCATATCCCGACTGCCTACTCCCGATTCTGAAGCCTATTTCGATTAACTACGCAAGAAACTATGTGTATTGCAGAGCAACACACGAATCCTAATTCGACAACACAGACCATCCCACGCCAAAACTAAAGCCACTCACATAATTTCACTCGAACAACAGACAAAGCAGAGCACAATATTATTACAATCCCAAGAGATTCACCAATCATATGCCCTGATTGCGGCGACAGTCGCCGTCTCCCAGTGATAAAAAAATAAGATCCTACAAACCTACAGACATCCTGCACTCATGAACAACACAAATCGCAAATCACCGAGGCATGGAACCAGAAACCTAAGCTTCGACCGCAGTGTCGAAAAACTCGCGATTCCAACGATCAAGCAATTGAGGGATTTAAGTTTAAAAGAAATCTGCGGCCGAATTATCCAAGGAATGGAGATACGCGAGGTACTACCTTCCATATGCTCGTCATCGCCATTGCTAGACCCTAGCAAACCCATGGCGTCCCTGCTGATTCCTTCTTCAAAAAAACACCTCTCTTTCATTTTACTGAAGAAGTGGTGACCATCTCGGTGTCATGGTGCTGATACCCAGGTTTTGATACCCAGGTTTTGATACCCAGGTTATGATACCCAGTTTATGATACCCTTGAATTTTAGATACCCGGATTCCCAAATGAGCTTCATTTCTGCCTTGTGCCCTTCAGCTTCTGTCTTCGGTTACAAATCCGGTTATGTTTTGTATTTCGATGTGCGCACAGAGCTCCGCTTGCAGCGTGCCATACAAACTTATTTCGGTCAATGAAGGTCTAAACAAGAATGATATTTTACTGTGAAACAACAACACTATTTATGGCTAGCCCACCAAGGAACTGCTCCCAAATTCGGCATTAAAGGAGGATGAGTTTCTGAAAGGACGAGTGTTCCTGCAAGGTAGATCCAAATTGATTTGGGCAGATTTGAAAAGTTTTTCATGAATGCATTATATGGCTGCTGTAGGATTCATGCCTAAGACCATCTGGATCCAGGGACAGCCATAAGCACCATTACCAGCTTTTAAAATGTGTAGAAGAGGTACAACATAAAAAGATGTTTAATTATTTTTATAAAAAGCTTATCTTCCTCTAATTTGTCCGCTTTTGCAAGTGATAGAAAATGGACATGGAGTTGCTTGGATTGAGCCCCACTAAAAATAATTTGTTTGATGAAATTCATCTAAGAGGCTTAATTAAGGGATGGTTTTGCAAAATTACAATGTATAATGTTTTGATTAGAAATGCTTTTTGCCATGCTTAAAATATATATATATATATATATATATATATATATCTAAAAATGAAGGAGAATAAATATGTAGTAGATATTTTCTAAATAAAGATTTTTGAGCATGTCTAAAAATAATTATGTTTATATATATATATATATATATATATATATTTCAATACTATAGATGAGAAAAAAATGAATATTTCAATTTATAATTTACCTACAAAACACTTGAGACAAGTTTTAAAATATTGTGTATGCTTATAATTAAAAAGCCCACCTCAAACAAAAAAAAAAAAAAAAAAAAAAAAAAAAAAAAAAAACAACAACAACAACAACAACAACAACAACAACAATAATAATAAATAAATAAATAACATAAGAAAAGAGCTATAAAGGCCAAAAATAGTCAAAAACCTCTTATCTCCGACATATTGTTCTTACCACTTAAACAAACTTTTGTAGATTTTATAGTAAGTTGAGTTGTAAAATTATTTATAAAAATCATTAGATTTTTTTGTATTTGTTATCTGCATGCTATTCTACATTTGTATGGAGTTGATTTAGTTCATTGGTTGAAATTCTAAAAAACTATATTCATTATTTATTTTTAATTGGTAAATTATTTATTCGAATTGATTCTTTTGATAGCAAAGTAATGATCCTAAGTGACAACACATTACTTCAAATTGTTATAGTATATGTACATTAAAATAATTAAAGAATGAGTATCTAATATTAAACTTGAATATATAATTGTTTTAAAAATCTCTCAAGTTAATCATATTAGATTCTTTAATAGTTGATTTATAAAAAATAGATATATAAATAATATTATTTAATGGATGATATTCTAAAAAATGATAGTTATTCATAGAAATAAGTTCATATGTAGTTTTGCCAAAGACATATTTGTAATAGTATAATTCTTTTGAAGTACTTTTAATTTTTTTTATTATAGTAATTTTTATTATTTTATCTTAATTAAAAAATATTAACATTCTTTACTTGGTTGTGCTAATTATACCTTTTATCATTGGAATATTTTTGAATACCTACAAACTAATCAATTGAGTTTCTCAACAACATAATTATTTGATTAGTTCAATAATGTTTGATTTTATTTTTAGATATATTTTATAGATAATTATAATAATCAATATATGGTTATAGGGATGTTTTTTTATTTTCTTATTATATTTTTATACATATTTGCATTAAATTATTGATATGGAAATTATAAAAAATATATAATTTATTTTATTTTGTTATATAATATAATTTTATTTTTATTTATTAATATCAAAAATATGCATATGTACTCTAATAAATACCTTTATGATTAGATAGAAGTAGGTAAAAGTAGATAAAAGTAAATTAATTTCATAATATCTTTTAAAATATTTTCTTAAAAGCTTCGTAGACGTTGTTTTGACTTTATATGTATTTGTAGTTGATTAATAGATAAGAAACTTGGTCAAAAAGTTAACCATATGTTGTTAGCTTGCGAAACAAGCTAACTATGTGGTGCACATATAAAAAACTTGCCTTGCAAGTTAAGATACATGTCTTGCAAAATCAGTATGTTTTGGAAGTTCTATAAGACATTGCGACATAGATCTAAGTTAGGAGTATATATGCAAGCAAGAATGAGATCTTCTTCACTCTTATCAATGCCTTTTTAGTTCTTAGTCTTGTTTCAAGACTTTCTAGTCTTTTTGTTTTTAGTAATAGCTATTTTAGTTCAATATTATTTCATCTTCGTATAACTTTTTAGTTCATTTCAGTGACACAAGAGTATATTGAAGATTTCTTTATTTGAGATTTATGTCTTGAACAATTTGACAAGAGTGATAACTTATTATTTCTATCTTGTTTTAGAAGTGAGTGGATTACTTCACTTTTATTATTATATTTTGAAGGTTACAGACTTTCCACCTTTAAACAAAAAATCTTATTTTCTAATAGTGATCTTTTTCTAAAAGAGAGTGGATTACCTTTCTTAATAGAAATTTTTGTTTGATATTAGAGGTTACAGATTCTCTTTTTTTAATTTAATTTTTTGAATTTTTTTGAATTGTGTATAGAAGAAAAGATTATGGATGCTACTCTCATTGAAAGTAAGAATAGATTTGCAACTATTGCAAATCTTCATGAGCTTGTCAACACTTTGAGAGTAGAAATTTTACATATTTCTAATAAGAAACATAGAGTCACTATTCCTAGATGTATATTCTTAAACTCGATAGATTTGCTTCTATAAGTATGACGGTGACAAAGATCAAATAAGTTCAAAATTTTGAGAATTTTTGCAATAAGTCAAGCTCTATCTAAAGTTACATCTCTTCCAATATCCTGATAGATTTATCCAAGTCGGACTTATAGGCGCACTTCTATCAAAAAATATTCTTTCTTAATTTACACCTTTGATGGAAAAAGACTTACAACTCTTTTATAATTTGAATTCATTCTTAGAAGTGTTTATGGCAACATTCAAAGAAAGTGATCAAGAAAGAATAGGAGAAACCAAGCTCTTATCTTTACAACAAAGATCACGGTCAGCTACTATATATACTATTCAATTTCAAAACCTTGCTTGCAATGTGGACTAAAATAACAAAGCCTTTATCAATCAATTTTGATATAGGTTGATAATATCAAAGATTTGTTAATAACAATGCAAAAAATAAAATCTTTGGAATAATTTATTACTCAAGCGATTGCATGTGATAATTGATTATTTGAAAGACATCAAGAACAAAGACTTGATTGAAGAAGAATAAGTCAAATAATGACAATAGCTTCTAAGTTTTCAAAAACTCATTCATCAAGGCCTAAACCAATATAATTGATATGATACATTTTAAATCCCTCAAGGAACAAGAAAAGTCTCAACAACGTCAAGAAGGATTATGCTTATATTGTAGAAAACTTAAACATACTACTCTATATTGTCTAAAGAAACAATGCAACCACAAAATGAGAAGTATGGTTGCTAAAGAAAACAATGTGTTGAAAAACGAGTTTTTCTAACTATAATAAGAACCATATGACTAAATCTTACATAACTTCTAATAAAGATCTTATTCTTTCCTTAAATCCCTCATCTTGTTTTACAATAGAAGTTTATTTACGACCAAAAAATCACAAAGTCTTAGCTTTATTAGATTCAAGAGCCTTTACTTGTTTTATAAATGAAGATTTTGTCAAAAAACAAGAGATATTGTTTGTCAAGAAAATTAAATTTGTATATGTAGAAGTCATAGATGATTGTTTGATATCTTTTAAAGATGTTATGGATAAGATCATTTCTTTGGATGTAGCAATTAAAGATCATAATAGCATATTAATATTTAATATAATAAGATCTCTATCCACTCTAGTTATTTTAGGATTACCTTTCTTGAAAAAATATAATTCTCACATAGATTGGATTTCTAGTAATCTTAATTTTTTTGGTAGTTTAATCCAAAATTTTATTAGTCAAATAGAAATATGCAAGTCTAGTATATCCAAATCTTTACTAGTAGGTGTCAAAGCTTTCATGCATGCCACAAAAAAAAGGTTAGTTTTTGCTATATATGCCATGTCTATTTTTGATGGTGAGAAGACATCAAGTAGTATTCTTAGCCAATATTAAAATTTCCATGATGTTTTTGAAAAGAACAATGTAAATATTCTTTCAAAACATTGTCCTTATGATTGTTATATTGATCTTCATGAATGAGCTCAACGACCATTTGAACTAATCTATAGCCTATCACAAAAGAAGTTCATTGCATTGAATAAATATATTAATGAGAACTTTGCTAAGAATTTCATATGCCAATCCTATATTCTGTTGATTTTTTCAAGATATTTTTCGTAAAAATAGATGCATCAGATTTTGCCTTGGATGCATTATTGTCACAAATAGGAGCAAATAACAAATTCCATCCAATAGCTTTCCATTCCAAAAATATTTCACTACTCAAGATTAATTATGAGATCCACAATAGAGAGTTCCTTATAATTATGGATTCATTTCAAGAATGGTGTCCTTATTTAGAAGGTGCCTTGATTCCAATCACCATGTATATAAATCACAAGAATCTTGAATACTTTATGTCAACACATTTTTTGAATTTTTGCCAAGCTTGTTAGAGCATATATTTATCAAGATTTGATTTCAAGATTACTTATTGACTTAAAAAATAAAAATGCTTGTTGCATGCTCTTTCTACACATTTTTATCTTGTACCAAAATTATGAGATGCATCTTTTGATCAAAAAAGAATGATTCACTTTTAGCTA